TCTTATAGTCCAGGACAACGATGAGCTCATGTCTTACCCCATTCAACAACATAATTCTTGGTCTTGGTCCAGGTCGGTTCTATCACTGCTACAAGCTGTGCCTTGTTGGACAGCTGGAGCTGACGCTCGTCTATTAGTATTACATTAAAAATGTGCAAACAAGTCATTTTAAATCGTAAGTAATATGAAACAGCAAGTTGCAATATTTTCTAAATGCTGAAAATAGCCATGCACTCTATGAACTATCATGATACAGTATTTTGCCAATGTGAATGTAATGTACAAGGGTTTAATGTCTGTATATACTGTAAATATTACCATTTTTAATGTAAATTCTTGGTGTACTGTCGGTGAGATCTTGGACTACACTTCATGTTATAATTCTGGTCTTAAGATAACGTGCATCATTTTAAAAATATACAGAGGCCGGTGTGAAACAGGGACACATGAACTAATATGTTATCCAACAACAGCTTCAGCCCTCGAACAAATTTACATAACCTCACATTCCTGAACAATCCCTGGAGAGAAAGTCAAGCATTTTTTTTCCATTCCCCCTGTGTGTGTGTATGTGTGTGTGTGTGCCATTTCCCCTGTGTGTGTGTGTTTGTGCACGAGTGTGAGAGAGAGACTGACCCATCTGTGCTCAGTGTTGGTGATGTAGCATTTCCATATTAATAGAAATGCTAATCAAAGTCAAATCATATGCTAATAAGCATGATGGATTGATGCTGTGGGTATAACTCAGTTTGTTCTCATGAGACAGTCTAGAGAACACACAAAACACATACTTGTATTTCTATAGTTGTGAGGGCACTCTAATAGAATCCATTACCTAACCCCTTACCATAACCCTCACCATCACAACTAAATGCCTATAAGCAGGCATTCAGAATAAGTGCATTACAACACAACCCCAACACAAGGGGCTGTATTGGTGGAGGGCAGTGTCACAAAGGCTTGTACAATAAGGCCACATTGTGATGAGTCAATGTGAGTTGCTTCATTAACATTTCCAGCCATTGCGTTTTGGGTAGCCTTGCTGCTAACATAGCTTGCTCTACATTAGCACCAATTTCTACCACCCGTGTGTCTGCATTTTTAGTTAAAAATACTGTTTAATATTCAGTAGCCTAACTAATGAAAACACGTGGCATGTTGCTGAGTCAAAGAATCAAGAGTCAAAGTGTTTATTGTCATATGCACAATTAGGAAACGCATTTCCCTGTACAATGAAATTCTTACTTTGCCGTCCACATGAATGCCACAAAAAATACAAGTGAAATATAAAGTAGATAAATAAGTAACACAAAATCTAAGGCACTTTAAGCAGCAAATGCAGCAATATAATAAAAATATATAAGAATATAATAAGAGAATGTATGCTGCATGGGAGCAGCATGTGCAGCAGTCAACAGTCATGCAGAGAGGGCAGTGGAGTCCTGGTGATCTTCTCCGCAGTCTTTACCACTCTCTGCAGGTCCATAGCAGTAGAGCTGCCATACCAGACGGGGATGCAGCTGGTCAAGATGCTCTCAATGATGCAGCTGTAGAAGTTGCAAAGGATCCTAGGTGACATGCCAAACCTCCTCAGCCTCCTGAGGAAGTACAGCCACCGTTGGGCCTTCTTGACCAGCTGTGTGTCATGATTCGGTTCCGCTGCTTCCTGTCCGGCTTTTATTTTGTCCTTACTTCCTGTTTTTGTTTCACCTCTGTTTCGGTCTTTTTACTTTCACTAATCACTCACATTAGATTCACCTGCTCCCGATAGTTTGCACCTGTTTGCACCGCATTATAAGCAGCCTTCACCCACCAGTCCCCGCCAGATTGTTCTAGACGCCAGCTGTATTTCTCGTGTTTTGACCTGGATTGTGTGTTGTGACTATTCTGCTCTGTCTTGCCCTCTTGCTACGGACTTATACTGTGTATGATTATTGGACTACCCCTTTGGATTATGTATTTTGGATTCATCTGCTGTATGTGTTTGCTGGCTCTGATCTTTGACCGTTATACCGACCGTGAGTTTTATGTTTCACCGTGTCTTGTATGAGTTTTTGTTTAGCATTAGTTCTCTTATTAAAGAGACGGTTTTGTTTTACATTTTCTCGTCTGGCCTTTTAATGAGTTCACCAACATTTTCGGCAGCATCACGCACCGTTCCTGACCAGTTGTGTAGTGTTATGTGTCCAAGTGAGGGTATAAGCTTAGGTCTCAGCTTGAGCCCAAGTCAAGATACTTCTAGATATCTGTTGATTCATGTGATATTATTATGCAAGGCCATGGGGATTTGTTCAACCACAAAAGGATGCTGATCCACAGCCACTGGGATAAACTCCACTGGTCTTGAT